GCGGCAGTGGTGGCGGTCGAGGTGGGGCTGGTCAGAGGGGAGGCTCTGGGGGAGGCCAGCGGCAGCAGCAGCAGCGTCCGACCGAGACCCGCACACCTCAGCAGCTCCGTAAGTGGCTTGCCCACGCACCTCTCCACACCTCCATCTCTGTGTCGTATTGAGCCCCACGCACCTCTCCATCTCAGTGCCCTTGTCGCTCTGCCTCACGTGACTTGCGAGTCGACTCGAAGCGCACCTCCATCTCTGTGTCGTATTGAGCCCCACGCCACCTCTCCATCTCAGTGCCCTTGTCGCTCTGCCTCACGTGACTTGCGAGTCGACTCGAAGCGCACCTCCATCTCTGTGTCGTATTGAGCCCCACGCCACCTCTCCATCTCAGTGCCCTTGTCGCTCTGCCTCACGTGACTTGCGAGTCGACTCGAAGCGCACCTCCATCTCTGTGTCGTATTGAGCCCCACGCCACCTCTCCATCTCAGTGCCCTTGTCGCTCTGCCTCACGTGACTTGCGAGTCGACTCGAAGCGCACCTCCATCTCTGTGTCGTATTGAGCCCCACGCCACCTCTCCATCTCAGTGCCCTTGTCGCTCTGCCTCACGTGACTTGCGAGTCGACTCGAAGCGCACCTCCATCTCTGTGTCGTATTGAGCCCCACGCCACCTCTCCATCTCAGTGCCCTTGTCGCTCTGCCTCACGTGACTTGCGAGTCGACTCGAAGCGCACCTCCATCTCTGTGTCGTATTGAGCCCCACGCCACCTCTCCATCTCAGTGCCCTTGTCGCTCTGCCTCACGTGACTTGCGAGTCGACTCGAAGCGCACCTCCATCTCTGTGTCGTATTGAGCCCCACGCCACCTCTCCATCTCAGTGCCCTTGTCGCTCTGCCTCACGTGACTTGCGAGTCGACTCGAAGCGCACCTCCATCTCTGTGTCGTATTGAGCCCCACGCCACCTCTCCATCTCAGTGCCCTTGTCGCTCTGCCTCACGTGACTTGCGAGTCGACTCGAAGCGCACCTCCATCTCTGTGTCGTATTGAGCCCCACGCCACCTCTCCATCTCAGTGCCCTTGTCGCTCTGCCTCACGTGACTTGCGAGTCGACTCGAAGCGCACCTCCATCTCTGTGTCGTATTGAGCCCCACGCCACCTCTCCATCTCAGTGCCCTTGTCGCTCTGCCTCACGTGACTTGCGAGTCGACTCGAAGCGCACCTCCATCTCTGTGTCGTATTGAGCCCCACGCCACCTCTCCATCTCAGTGCCCTTGTCGCTCTGCCTCACGTGACTTGCGAGTCGACTCGAAGCGCACCTCCATCTCTGTGTCGTATTGAGCCCCACGCCACCTCTCCATCTCAGTGCCCTTGTCGCTCTGCCTCACGTGACTTGCGAGTCGACTCGAAGCGCACCTCCATCTCTGTGTCGTATTGAGCCCCACGCCACCTCTCCATCTCAGTGCCCTTGTCGCTCTGCCTCACGTGACTTGCGAGTCGACTCGAAGCGCACCTCCATCTCTGTGTCGTACTGAGCCCCACGCCACCTCTCCATCTCAGTGCCCTTGTCGCTCTGCCTCACGTGACTTGCGAGTCGACTCGAAGCGCACCTCCATCTCTGTGTCGTACTGAGCCCCACGCCACCTCTCCATCTCAGTGCCCTTGTCGCTCTGCCTCACGTGACTTGCGAGTCGACTCGAAGCGCACCTCCATCTCTGTGTCGTACTGAGCCCCACGCCACCTCTCCATCTCAGTGCCCTTGTCGCTCTGCCTCACGTGACTTGCGAGTCGACTCGAAGCGCACCTCCATCTCTGTGTCGTACTGAGCCCCACGCCACCTCTCCATCTCAGTGCCCTTGTCGCTCTGCCTCACGTGACTTGCGAGTCGACTCGAAGCGCACCTCCATCTCTGTGTCGTACTGAGCCCCACGCCACCTCTCCATCTCAGTGCCCTTGTCGCTCTGCCTCACGTGACTTGCGAGTCGACTCGAAGCGCACCTCCATCTCTGTGTCGTACTGAGCCCCACGCCACCTCTCCATCTCAGTGCCCTTGTCGCTCTGCCTCACGTGACTTGCGAGTCGACTCGAAGCGCACCTCCATCTCTGTGTCGTACTGAGCCCCACGCCACCTCTCCATCTCAGTGCCCTTGTCGCTCTGCCTCACGTGACTTGCGAGTCGACTCGAAGCGCACCTCCATCTCTGTGTCGTACTGAGCCCCACGCCACCTCTCCATCTCAGTGCCCTTGTCGCTCTGCCTCACGTGACTTGCGAGTCGACTCGAAGCGCACCTCCATCTCTGTGTCGTACTGAGCCCCACGCCACCTCTCCATCTCAGTGCCCTTGTCGCTCTGCCTCACGTGACTTGCGAGTCGACTCGAAGCGCACCTCCATCTCTGTGTCGTACTGAGCCCCACGCCACCTCTCCATCTCAGTGCCCTTGTCGCTCTGCCTCACGTGACTTGCGAGTCGACTCGAAGCGCACCTCCATCTCTGTGTCGTACTGAGCCCCACGCCACCTCTCCATCTCAGTGCCCTTGTCGCTCTGCCTCACGTGACTTGCGAGTCGACTCGAAGCGCACCTCCATCTCTGTGTCGTACTGAGCCCCACGCCACCTCTCCATCTCAGTGCCCTTGTCGCTCTGCCTCACGTGACTTGCGAGTCGACTCGAAGCGCACCTCCATCTCTGTGTCGTACTGAGCCCCACGCCACCTCTCCATCTCAGTGCCCTTGTCGCTCTGCCTCACGTGACTTGCGAGTCGACTCGAAGCGCACCTCCATCTCTGTGTCGTACTGAGCCCCACGCCACCTCTCCATCTCAGTGCCCTTGTCGCTCTGCCTCACGTGACTTGCGAGTCGACTCGAAGCGCACCTCCATCTCTGTGTCGTACTGAGCCCCACGCCACCTCTCCATCTCAGTGCCCTTGTCGCTCTGCCTCACGTGACTTGCGAGTCGACTCGAAGCGCACCTCCATCTCTGTGTCGTACTGAGCCCCACGCCACCTCTCCATCTCAGTGCCCTTGTCGCTCTGCCTCACGTGACTTGCGAGTCGACTCGAAGCGCACCTCCATCTCTGTGTCGTACTGAGCCCCACGCCACCTCTCCATCTCAGTGCCCTTGTCGCTCTGCCTCACGTGACTTGCGAGTCGACTCGAAGCGCACCTCCATCTCTGTGACGTAGTGAGCCCCACGCCACCTCTCCATCTCAGTGCCCTTGTCGCTCTGCCTCCCGTGACTTGCGAGTCGACTCGAAGCGCACCTCCATCTCTGTGACGTAGTGAGCCCCACGCACCTCTCCATCTCAGTGCCCTTGTCGCTCTGCCTCCCGTGACTTGCGAGTCGACTCGAAGCGCACCTCCATCTCTGTGCGGTAGTGAGCCCCACGCACCTCTCCATCTCAGTGCCCTTGTCGCTCTGCCTCCCGTGACTTGCGAGTCGACTCGAAGCGCACCTCCATCTCTGTGTCGTAGTGAGCCCCACGACACCTCTCCATCTCAGTGCCCTTGTCGCTCTGCCTCCCGTGACTTGCGAGTCGACTCGAAGCGCACCTCCATCTCTGTGCGGTAGTGAGCCCCACGCCACCTCTCCATCTCAGTGCCCTTGTCGCTCTGCCTCCCGTGACTTGCGAGTCGACTCGAAGCGCACCTCCATCTCTGTGCGGTAGTGAGCCCCACGCCACTCTCCATCTCAGTGCCCTTGTCGCTCTGCCTCACGTGACTTGCGAGTCGACTCGAAGCGCACCTCCATCTCTGTGTCGTAGTGAGCCCCACGACACTCTCCATCTCAGTGCCCTTGTCGCTCTGCCTCACGTGACTTGCGAGTCGCTCTCTGTGTCGTAGTGAGCCCCACGACACCTCTCCATCTCAGTGCCCTTGTCGCTCTGCCTCACGTGACTTGTGAGTCGACTCAAAGCGCACCTCCATCTCTGTGTCGTAGTGAGCCCCACGACACCTCTCCATCTCAGTGCCCTTGTCGCTCTGCCTCACGTGACTTGTGAGTCGACTCAAAGCGCACCTCCATCTCTGTGCGGTAGTGAGCCCCACGCACCTCTCCATCTCAGTGCCCTTGTCGCTCTGCCTCACGTGACTTGCGAGTCGACTCGAAGCGCACCTCCATCTCTGTGTCGTATTGAGCCCCACGCCACCTCTCCATCTCAGTGCCCTTGTCGCTCTGCCTCACGTGACTTGCGAGTCGACTCGAAGCGCACCTCCATCTCTGTGTCGTACTGAGCCCCACGCCACCTCTCCATCTCAGTGCCCTTGTCGCTGCCTCCCGTGACTTGTGAGTCGACTCAAAGCGCACCTCCATCTCTGTGTCGTAGTGAGCCCCACGCACCTCTCCATCTCAGTGCCCTTGTCGCTCTGCCTCACGTGACTTGTGAGTCGACTCAAAGCGCACCTCCATCTCTGTGTCGTAGTGAGCCCCACGCACCTCTCCATCTCAGTGCCCTTGTCGCTCTGCCTCACGTGACTTGTGAGTCGACTCAAAGCGCACCTCCATCTCTGTGACGTATTGAGCCCCACGCACCTCTCCATCTCAGTGCCCTTGTCGCTCTGCCTCACGTGACTTGTGAGTCGACTCAAAGCGCACCTCCATCTCTGTGACGTATTGAGCCCCACGCACCTCTCCATCTCAGTGCCCTTGTCGCTCTGCCTCACGTGACTTGTGAGTCGACTCAAAGCGCACCTCCATCTCTGTGTCGTATTGAGCCCCACGCCACCTCTCCATCTCAGTGCCCTTGTCGCTCTGCCTCACGTGACTTGTGAGTCGACTCAAAGCGCACCTCCATCTCTGTGTCGTATTGAGCCCCACGCATCTCTCCATCTCAGTGCCCTTGTCGCTCTGCCTCGCGTGACTTGTGAGTCGACTCAAAGCGCACCTCCATCTCTGTGTCGTATTGAGCCCCACGCACCTCTCCATCTCAGTGCCCTTGTCGCTCTGCCTCGCGTGACTTGTGAGTCGACTCAAAACGCACCTCCATCTCTGTGTCGTATTGAGCCCCACGCCACTCTCCATCTCAGTGCCCTTGTCGCTCTACCTCGCGCGACTTGTGAGTCGACTCAAAGCGCACCTCCATCTCTGTGTCGTATTGAGCCCCACGCACCTCTCCCTCTCCGTGCCCTTGTCGCTCTGCCTCACGCGACTTGTGAGTCGACTCAAAGCGCACCTCCATCTCCGTGTCGTAGTGAGCCCCTCGCACCTCTCCCTCTCCGTGCCCTTGTCGCTCTGCCTCGCGCGACTTGTGAGTCGACTCAAAGCGCACCTCCATCTCCGTGTCGTAGTGAGCCCCACGCACCTCTCCGTCTCGGTGCCCTTGTCGCTCTGCCTCGCGCGACTTGTGAGTCGACTCAAAGCGCACCTCCATCTCCGTGTCGTAGTGAGCCCCACGCACCTCTCCGTCTCGGTGCCCTTGTCGCTCTGCCTCGCGCGACTTGTGAGTCGACTCAAAACGCACCTCCATCTCCGTGTCGTAGTGAGCCCCACGCACCTCTCCGTCTCGGTGCCCTTGTCGCTCTGCCTCGCGCGACTTGTGAGTCGACTCAAAACGCACCTCCATCTCTATGCCGTAGTGAGCCCCACGCACCTCTCCGTCTCAGTGCCCTTGTCGCTCTGTGCTGTATTGAGCCCCGCGCACCTCTCCGTCTCAGTGCCCTTGTCACTCTGCCTCGCGCGACTTGTGAGTCGACTCAAAGCGCACCTCCATCTCCGTGTCGTAGTGAGCCCCGCGCACCTCTCCGTCTCCGTGCCCTTGTCGCTCTGCCTCGCGCGACTTGTGAGTCGACTCAAAGCGCACCTCCATCTCCGTGTCGTAGTGAGCCCCACGCAGCCCCACGCACCTCTCCGTCTCGGTGCCCTTGTCGCTCTGCCTCGCGCGACTTGTGAGTCGACTCAAAGCGCACCTCCATCTCCGTGTCGTAGTGAGCCCCACGCACCTCTCCGTCTCGGTGCCCTTGTCGCTCTGCCTCGCGCGACTTGTGAGTCGACGCAAAGCGCACCTCCATCTCCGTGTCGTAGTGAGCCCCACGCACCTCTCCGTCTCGGTGCCCTTGTCGCTCTGCCTCGCGCGACTTGTGAGTCGACTCAAAGCGCACCTCCATCTCCGTGTCGTAGTGAGCCCCACGCACCTCTCCGTCTCGGTGCCCTTGTCGCTCTGCCTCGCGCGACTTGTGAGTCGACGCAAAACGCACCTCCATCTCTATGCCGTAGTGAGCCCCACGCACCTCTCCGTCTCGGTGCCCTTGTCGCTTTTCCTCGCGCGACTTGTGAGTCGACTCAAAGCGCACCTCCATCTCCGTGTCGTAGTGAGCCCCACGCACCTCTCCGTCTCGGTGCCCTTGTCGCTCTGCCTCGCGCGACTTGTGAGTCGACTCAAAGCGCACCTCCATCTCCGTGTCGTAGTGAGCCCCACGCACCTCTCCGTCTCGGTGCCCTTGTCGCTCTGCCTCGCGCGACTTGTGAGCCGACTCAAAGCGCACCTCCATCTCCGTGTCGTAGTGAGCCCCACGCACCTCTCCGTCTCGGTGCCCTTGTCGCTCTGCCTCGCGCGACTTGTGAGTCGACTCAAAGCGCACCTCCATCTCCGTGTCGTAGTGAGCCCCACGCACCTCTCCGTCTCGGTGCCCTTGTCGCTCTGCCTCGCGCGACTTGTGAGTCGACTCAAAACGCACCTCCATCTCTGTGTCGTAGTGAAACTTTTCTTAGTGAAACTATGCTTGAGTTCTACCAAGGCAACCAACCACTCTGTCAAGAATTATTGCCATAACTCTGACCGTGCGTCCCACGCAATTCAGCTGTCCCGTAGAATGGCTCTCTTCGCAGGGAGAATGGGGCGGAGTGATGGAAAGCGGGAGAATGGGGCGGGGTGATGGAAAGCGGGAGAATGGGGCGGGGAGATGGAAAGCGGGAGAATGGGGCGGGGCGATGGAAAGAGGGAGAATGGGGCGGGGCGATGGAAAGAGGGAGAATGAGGCGGGGTGATGGAAAGCGGGAGAATGGGGCGGGGTGATGGAAAGCGGGAGAATAGGGCGGGGTGATGGAAAGCGGGAGAGTGGAGCGGGGTGATGGAATGCGGGAGAATGGGGCGGGGTGATGGAAAGCGGGAGAATGGGGCGGGTGATGGAAATCGGGAGAACGGGGCGGGGCGATGGAAAGCGGGAGAACGGGGCGGGGCGATTGAAAGAGGGAGAATGGGGCGGGGTGATGGAAAGAGGGAGAATGGGGCGGGGTGATGGAAAGTGGGAGAATGGGGCGGGGCGATGGAAAGAGGGAGAATGGGGCATGGCGATGGAAAGAGGGAGAGTGGGGCGGGGTGATGGAAAGAGGGAGAATGGGGCGGGGTGAAGGAAAGCGGGAGAATGGGGTGGGGCGATGGAAAGCGGGAGAATGGGGCTGGGCGATGGAAAGCGGGAGAATGGGGCGGGGTGATGGAAAGCGGGAGAATGGAGGGGGGTGATGGAATGCGGGAGAATGGGGCGGGGTGATGGAAAGCGGGAGAATGGGGCGGGGTGATGGAAAGCGGGAGAGTGGGGCGGGGTGATGGAAAGCGGGAGAATGGGGCGGGGTGATGGAAAGCGGGAGAATGGGGCGGGGTGATGGAAAGCGGGAGAATGGGGCGGGGTGACGGAAAGCGGGAGAATGGGGCGGGGTGATGGAAAGCGGGAGAATGGGGCTGGGTGATGGAAAGAGGGAGAATGGGGTGCGGAGATGGAAAGAGGGAGAATGGGGCGGGGTGATGGAAAGTGGGAGAAAGGGGCGGGGTGATGGAAAGCGGGAGAATGGGGCAGGGAGATGGAAAGCGGGAGAACGGGGCGGGGTAATGGAAAGAGGGAGAACGGGGCGGGGTGATGGAAAGCAGGAGAATGGGGCTGGGTGATGGAAAGAGGGAGAATGGGGCGGGGTGATGGAAAGCGGGAGAATGGGGCGGGGCGATGGAAAGTGGGAGAATGGGGCTGGGCGATGGAAAGCGGGAGAATGGGGCGGGGTGATGGAAAGCGGGAGAATGGGGCGGGGTGATGGATAGAGGGAGAATGGGGCAGGGTGATGGAAAGTGGGAGAATGGGGCGGGGTGATTGAAAGATGGAGAATGGGGCGGGGTGATGGAAAGAGGGAGAATGGGGCGGGGCGATGGAAAGCGGGAGAATGGGGCGGGCTGATGGAAAGAGGGAGAATGGGGCGGGGCGATGGAAAGCGGGAGAATGGGGCGGGCTGATGGGAAGAGGGAGAATTGGGCGGGGCGATGGAAAGCGGGAGAATGGGGCGGGGCGATGGGAAGAGGGAGAATGAGGCGGGGTGATGGAAAGCGGGAGAATGGGGCAGGGTGATGGAAAGAGGGAGAATGGGGCGGGGCGATGGGAAGAGACAGAATGGGGCGGGGTGATGGAAAGAGGGAGAATGGGGCGGGGCGATGGAAACCGGGAGAATGGGGCGGGCTGATGGAAAGAGGGAGAATGGGGCGGGGCGATGGAAAGCGGGAGAATGGGGCGGGGCGATGGGAAGAGGGAGAATGAGGCGGGGTGATGGAAAGCGGAAGAATGGGGCGGGGTGATGGAAAGAGGGAGAATGGGGCGGGGGGATGGGAAGAGACAGAATGGGGCGGGGTGATGGAAAGAGGGAGATGGGCCGGGGTGATGGAAAGCGGGAGAATGGGGCGGGGTGATGGAAAGAGGGAGAATGGGGCGGGGTGATGGAAACAGGGAGAATGGGGCGGGGTGATGGAAAGTGGAAGAATGAGGCAGGGCGATGGAAAGCGGGAGAATGGGGCTGGGCGATGGAAAGCGGGAGAATTGGGCGGGGTGATGGAAAGCGGGAGAATGGGGCGGGGTGATGGAAAGCGAGAGAATGGGGCGGGGTGATGGAAAGCGGGAGAATGGGGCGGGGTGACGGAAAGCGGGAGAATGGAGCGGGGTGATGGAAAGCGGGAGAATGGGGCTGGGTGATGGAAAGAGGGAGAATGGGGTGCGGAGATGGAAAGAGGGAGAATGGGGCGGGGTGATGGAAAGTGGGAGAAAGGGGCGGGGTGATGGAAAGCGGGAGAATGGGGCGGGGAGATGGAAAGCGGGAGAACGGGGCGGGGTAATGGAAAGAGGGAGAACGGGGCGGGGTGATGGAAAGCAGGAGAATGGGGCTGGGTGATGGAAAGAGGGAGAATGGGGCGGGGTGATGGAAAGCGGGAGAATGGGGCGGGGCGATGGAAAGCGGGAGAATGGGGCTGGGCGATGGAAAGTGGGAGAATGGGGCGGGGTGATGGAAAGCGGGAGAATGGGGCGGGGTGATGGATAGAGGGAGAATGGGGCAGGGTGATGGAAAGTGGGAGAATGGGGCGCGATGATTGAAAGATGGAGAATGGGGCGGGGTGATGGAAAGAGGGAGAATGGGGCGGGGCGATGGAAAGCGGGAGAATGGGGCGGGCTGATGGAAAGAGGGAGAATGGGGCGGGGCGATGGAAAGCGGGAAAATTGTTATGTGATGCTATCACTTGCATTCACGTCTGTCTGCCTCCCATCACATGTTCGTGCGTTGCATGCGTGGTGTGAGCGTGTGCAAGAATTTGTGTTTTCTGTGGTTTGGATTCTCTGAGTGTGTGTGAATGTTATTTGGCTTGAGCAGATATCTGAAGTGACTCCACTGCTCAAGAGCTCTCCGACGAACCAAGTATCGCTTCAATCGGAGCACGAACAAGAAAGTTACGAACGTTGGAAGTTCGTATGCTTTTGATATTTGGTTGTGGTGACTATGGGAAGTTGTGGGGTTGACTCCATAAGGGGTATAGACTTTTGGGGGTTGGGAAATTCGTCAAAATCACTGTAGATGCTGCCAAGTGGGATTCCCTTATGCCCGATTCGCTTGCGCCCGATTCCCTTGCGCCCGATTCGCTTGCCCGATTCCCTTGCGCCCGATTCGCTTGCGTCTGATTCCCTTGCGCCCGATTTCCTTGCGCCTGATTTCCTTGCGCCCGATTCCTTTGCCTCCGACTCCCTTGCGCACGATTCGCTTGCGCCCGATTCGCTTGCGCCCGACTCGCTTGCGCCCGACTCGCTTGCGCCCGACTTGCTTGCGCCCGATTTCCTTGCGCCCGAATCCCTTCCGCCCGATTCCCTTGCGCCCAATTCGCTTGCGCCCGATTCGCTTGCACCCGACTCCCTTGCGCCCGACTCCCTTGCGCCCATCAGTACCATGCTGATGCACGCCGATGCATCCTTTGGTGCATCGGCATCGTGCTGACGTGCGCCGATGCATCCATTGGTGCATCGGAACCATGTTGTTGTGGGCCGATGGATCCATTAGTGCATCGGCACCATGTCGACGCACGCCGATGCACCCATTGGTGCATCAGCTTCATGCCGATCCGCGCCGATGAATCCATTGGTACATCGGCATAATGCCGACACATGACGGTACACCCATGGGTGCTTCAACACCATGCCGATGCGCGCCGATAAATCAATTGGTGCATCAGTACCATGCCGACGCACGTCGATGCATGCCATGCCGACGCACGCCGATGCATGCCTTGGTGCATCAGCACTATGCTGATGTGTGCCGATGCATCGTATGGTGCATCGACATCATGCCGACGTGCGCCGATGCATCCATTAGTGCATTGGCACCATGCTGTTATGTGCCGATGCATGCCTTGGTGCATCGGAACCTTGCCCATTACCGCCGATGCATCCATGGGTGCATCCGCACCATGCCGACGCACGCCGATGCACCCATTGGGTCATAAGCTTCATGCCGATTTGCGCCGATGTATCCATTGGTGCATCCACACCATGTCGACGCACGCCGTTGCACCCATGGGTGCTTCAGCACCATGCCGATGCACGCCGATAGATCCATTGGTGCATCGGCACAATGCCGACGCATGACGATGCACACATTGGTGCATCCGCACCATGCCAATGCGCGCCGATGGATCCATTGGTGCAACAGTACCATGCCAACGCGTGCCGATGCATGCCTTGCTGCCTCAGTACCATGCTGATGTGCGCCGATGCATCCTTTGGTGCATCGGCATCGTGCCGACGTGCGCCGATGCATCCATTGATGCATCAGAACCATGTTGTTGTGGGCCGATTGATCCATTAGTGCATCGGCACCATGTCGACGCACGCCGATGCACCCATTGGTGCATCAGCTTCATGCCGATCCGCGCCGATGTATCCATTGGTACATCGGCATAATGCCGACACATGACGATGCACCCATGGGTACTTGAGCACCATGCCGATGCGCGCCGATAAATCTATTGGTGCATCAGTACCATGCCGACGCACGCCGATGCATGCCATGCCGACGCACGCCGATGCATGCCTTGGTGCATCAGCGCTATGCCAATGTGTGCCGATGCATCGTATGGTGCATCGACATCATGCCAACGTGCTCCAATGCATCCACTGGTGCATTAGCACCATGCCGTTGTGCGCCGATGCATGCCTTGGTGCATCGGCACCTTGCCCATGTCCGCCGATGCATCCATGGTTGCATCCGCACCATGCCGGCGCATGCCGATGCACCCATTGGTGCATCAGCTTCATACCGATTTGCGCCGATGTATCCATTGGTGCATCGACAATATGTCGACACACGCTGATGCACCCATGGGTGCTTCAACACCATGCCGATGCACGCCGATAGATCCATTGGTGCGTCGGCACCATCCCGACGCACGCCGATGCTCATATTGGTGCATCAGCTTTATGCCGATCCGTGCCGATAGATCCATTGGTGCATCGGCACAATACCGACGCATGACGATGCACACATTGGTGCTTCCGCACCATGCCGATGCGCATCGATGTATCCATTGGTGCAACAGTACCATGCCGACGCGCGCCGATGCACGCCTTGCTGCATCAGTACCATGCTGATGCGCGCCGATGCATCCTTTGGTGCATCGGTATCGTGCCGACGTGCGCCGATGCATCCATTGGTGCATCGGAACCATGTTGTTGTGGGCCGATGGATCCATTAGTGCATCGGCACCATGCCGACGCACGCCGATGCACCCATTGGTGCATCAGCTTCATGCCGATCCGTGCTGATGTATCCATTAATGCATCGGCTTCATGCCGATACGCGCCGATGGATCTATTGGTGCATCAGTACCATGCCGACGCACGCCGATGCCTGCCATGCCGACGCACACCGATGCATGCCTTGGTGCATCAGTACCATGCCGATGTGTGCCGATGCATCCTTTGGTGCTTCGACATCGTGCCAACGTGCGCGGATGCATCCATTGGTGCATTGGCACCATGCCGTTGTGCGTCGATGCATGCCTTGGTGCATCGGCACCTTGCCCATGTCCGCCTATGCATCTAGGGGTGCATCGGCACCATGCCAACGCACGTCGATGCACCCATGGGTGCATCAGCTTCATGCCGATTTGCACCGATGTATCGATTGGTGCATCGACACCATGCCGATGCACGCCAATGCACCCATAGGTGCTTCAGCACCATGCCGATGCGTGCCGATAGATCCATTGGTGCATCGGCACAATACCGACGCATGACGATGCACACATTAGTGTATCAGCACCATGCCGATGCGCGCCGATGGATCCATTGGTGCAACAGTAACATGCCGACGCGCGCCGATGCATGCCTTGCTGCATCAGTACCATGCTGATGCGCGCCGATGCATCCTATGGTGCATCGGTATCGTGCCGACGTGCGCCGATGCATCCATTGGTGCATCGGAACCATGTTGTTGTGGGCCGATGGATCCATTAGTGCATTGGCACCATGTCGACGCACGCCGATGCACCCATTGGTGCTTCAGCACCATGCCGATGCACGCCGATATATCTATTGGTGCGTCGACACCATCCCGACGCACGTCGATGCACATATTGGTGCATCAGCTTTATGCCGATCCGCGCCGATAGATCCATTGGTGCATCAGCACAATACCGACGCATGACGATGCATACATTGGTGCTTCCGCACAATGCCGATGCGCGCCGATGTATCCATTGGTGCAACATTACCATGCCGACGCGCGCCGATGCATGCCTTGCTGCATCAGTACCATGCTGATGCGCGCCGATGCATCCTTTGGTGCATCGGTATCGTGCCGACGTGCGCCGATGCATCCATTGGTGCATCGGAACCATGTTGTTGTGGGCCGATGGATCCATTAGTGCATCGGCACCATGCCGACGCACGCCGATGCACCCATTGGTGCATCAGCTTCATGCCGATCCGTGCCGATGTATCCATTGGTACATCGGCATAATGCCGACACATGACGATGCACCCATGGGTACTTCAGCACCATGCCGATGCGCGCCGATAAATCTATTGGTGCATCAGTACCATGCCGACGCACGCCGATGCATGCCATGCCGACGCACGCCGATGCATGCCTTGGTGCATCAGCACTATGCCAATGTGTGCCGATGCATCGTATGGTGCATCGACATCATGCCGACGTGCTCCAATGCATCCACTGGTGCATTAGCACCATGCCGTTGTGCGCCGATGCATGCCTTGGTGCATCGGCACCTTGCCCATGTCCGCCGATGCATCCATGGTTGCATCCGCACCACGCCGGCGCATGCCGATGCACCCATTGGTGCATCAGCTTCATACCGATTTGCGCCGATGTATCCATTGGTGCATCGACAATATGTCGACACACGCTGATGCACCCATGGGTGCTTCAACACCATGCCGATGCACGCCGATAGATCCATTGGTGCGTCGGCACCATCCCGACGCACGCCGATGCTCATATTGGTGCATCAGCTTTATGCCGATCCGCGCCGATAGATCCATTGGTGCATCGGCACAATACCGACGCATGACGATGCACACATTGGTGCTTCCGCACCATGCCGATGCGCGTCGATGTATCCATAGGTGCAACAGTACCATGCCGACGCGCGCCGATGCATGCCTTGCTGCATCAGTACCATGCTGATGCGCGCCGATGCATCCTTTGGTGCATCGGTATCGTGCCGACGTGCGCCGATGCATCCATTGGTGCATTGGAACCATGTTGTTGTGGGCCGATGGATCCATTAGTGCATCGGCACCATGCCGACGCACGCCAATGCACCCATTGGTGCATCAGCTTCATGCCGATCCGTGCCGATGTATCCATTAATGCATCGGCTTCATGCCGATACGCCGATGGATCTATTGGTGCATCAGTACCATGCCGACGCACGCCGATGCCTGCCATGCCGACGCACACCGATGCATGCCTTGGTGCATCAGTACCATGCCGATGTGTGCCGATGCATCCTTTGGTGCTTCGACATCGTGCCAACGTGCGCGGATGCATCCATTGGTGCATTGGCACCATGCCGTTGTGCGTCGATGCATGCCTTGGTGCATCGGCACCTTGCCCATGTCCGCCTATGCATCTAGGGGTGCATCGGCACCATGCCAACGCACGTCGATGCACCCATGGGTGCATCAGCTTCATGCCGATTTGCACCGATGTATCGATTGGTGCATCGGCACCATGCCGATGCACGCCAATGCACCCATAGGTGCTTCAGCACCATGCCGATGCGTGCCGATAGATCCATTGGTGCATCGGCACAATACCGACGCATGACGATGCACACATTGGTGCATCAGCACCATGCCGATGCGCGCCGATGGATCCATTGGTGCAACAGTAACATGCCGACGTGCGCCGATGCATGCCTTGCTGCATCAGTACCATGCTGATGCGCGCCGATGCATCCTATGGTGCATTGGTATCGTGCCGACGTGCGCCGATGCATCCATTCGTGCATCGGAACCATGTTGTTGTGGGCCGATGGATCCATTAGTGCATTGGCACCATGTCGACGCACGCCGATGCACCCATTGGTGCTTCAGCACCATGCCGATGCACGCCGATATATCTATTGGTGCGTCGACACCATCCCGACGCACGTCGATGCACATATTGGTGCATCAGCTTTATGCCGATCCGCGCCGATAGATCCACTGGTGCATCAGCACAATACCGACGCATGACGATGCATACATTGGTGCTTCCGCACCTTGCCGATGCGCGCCGATGTATCCATTGGCGCAACAGTACCATGCCGACGCGCGCCGATGCATGCCTTGCTGCATCAGTACCATGCTGATGCGCGCCGATGCATCCTTTGGTGCATCGGTATCGTGCCGACGTGCGCCGATGCATCCATTGGTGC